ATATACTTGGAATAGGTTGTAAGTAAGGCTTCTTGCTTGAATTGATCAAAGTTGTTGTCACTGTTTAGCAATGCTCTCTGCAGTAACAATTAAAAGGAATAATAGAAACCCAGTGAGTTAAAACAAACTTCAGGCTTAATCTTCACATTTTTTCATTGCTGGCACATGAACAACTTACCCTTGAGAGAAGAACATATGCACCAGCAAATTTGTTGTCCCAGCTGAAGACATCTGGTTGATCATTAGATCCCATGGACTTGACCAAATTATAGTAGGAAACAGCATTTGTTGCTCTGAAAAGCCATGCAGCTCCCCACAATAGCTCATCCTGAAAATACATAAAGCATATTAAAATAACACATTAATAGTAGCACAAAAAAGTTGGTAAACAGTAGCAACAAACAACAAAATGGCTTTACCTTAAAACCAGAATATGAGCAGTAAAATGGGCAAACTGCAGATCCTAATGAATCACTGTAAGAACCTTGATACTGCAAAGCAAATTCATAAACTTCTCGGGCAGTCTTCACCAACAAACTAGAGTATGTTGGGTCAACATGTCTAAAAACAATAGATGCAGAAGCAAGAGCAGCAGCAGTTTCAGCAGCAACATCTGAACCAGGGTTATTTGGAGATACCGAATACACAGTTCTGCCAGTGTCCATGTCCTCTGGCCTTTGCCAACATTTGTGGTCCACATTTGGGTCTCCAACTCCAACATAAAGCTTACCAGGAGTGGATGTAGCACACTTTAGGAGGTAATCTGTGGCCCAACGAATTGCAGCTCTTGCTTCTTTGATTTGGGGTCCCATTCTCTTGCCATATTCAATTGTGCTCCATGATAACATTGTTGTGGTGTATGCCATTGGAAAATTGAATTTCGCATTGTCTCCTGCATCATAGTATCCTCCACTTAAATCCACCTGCCAAACAAAAGTTTTGGATTTGTAAGCCACTTTTTTAATGTAGATTTTTTAAAATGCATTTATTGTGTTATATTATTATATATATATATATATATATGTACAATTGATGAAAATTAAGTCATACCAAAGTTTATGCATTGAAAGTTAATGATGAAGCAAATTATTAGTTATTCATTGTGATTTGGAATTAGGTAAATTGCGATATTAATCATACAAATCTCAAATAGTACAAACAATTGAGAAAATGAAAGATGAGACAATAGGATGCATCGTACAGCACAATACTGAAAGTAGGGAAGAGATGATTGTATAAGAAAGAAAACATTTCAAATACCATTACTTTAAGGTCTTTTAAATTATAAATATATGTGTGTTATTATATTGGTTGGAGAAGTTCAACCGATTTTGTATTTAAATTTCAAGTAAAAAAACTTTTATAATGTTTATATATTTTATTTATTTGATAAATAATAATTATGTGAATATAAAATTTTAATTTAATAAATAATAAACATTTGATCATTTAATTTTAATTATTTAATATGTAAAATAATAAAAATAATTTGAACCACTTTAGGGTTTAAAAAAAAGTAAAAGATGGAGACAATGACAAATATTAATACCGGAGTTATTTTTTTGGACAAATCACATATATCCCACACGGAAAATAATCTTGTTCGAGTTGAAAATATTTACATCATGGGGAGAGTAAGCGAATCAAGTATGTACCACTTGAATCAGCACCCTTTAAACAGTTATTTATACCAAAATTTACTCTATGAAATATTTGATTTAAGATTATACAAGGTGATAAAACATAACTTTTCAAGAGAAAAAAAAAAAGGTTAAAGACAAAAAAACTAGCATCAAATCAAAGAAATGATATGCTTCCTCAGTTTTTTTATTTTGTTCACATGAATCTCAACATCAAGCTCCCTCCCTAAAGATGACAATTATATTGTGTTTAAAGGTTCAAAAGAACAAACAAAAAAATAAATTTATAAAAAGGAAAAAAAAAACATGAAATTTCTTACATTGGCTGAGCTACCATCAGAAAGACCTGAATTGGATCTCCATGTGATTTGTTGGTCCCGAGGAAGCCTTCCTGATCTCTGGCCTTGAAAAAATAATAAGGATTTAGCCAAAGCTTCTTTGTAGTTTGGGTTGCATTGGACATTGCCCACCAACAAGAATGTGAGCATGAACAAGAAGGAAAAGTAAGTTCCCATCCTCAAAGGTTCTCAAATTGGAGAAGCACCAAAGTGTTTTGTTTTGAAATTTTTTTATGACTTATTGGATGAAACAAATGGCTTATATAGCACTTTTGCATTCAGAAAAAGGAAAATCAATCACATTGCTTAAATTAAGCCATTTCTTGATTGTGATAATATTCAAATGTCCTTGCATGAAAATTAATAATTGCACAAAAAAAAATATCACATATAGAAATAAATGAGTCATAACTCATACGATTATAATAAAGGAAATAATAAGAAGAAAAAAATACTATATTAAGATTTCTCTAATGATGTTGAATGAATTTTGCACAAACTCTGCACCAAAATTACATGAAAAATATAATATATGAGATTTGATTGGTATCTAAACATAATAAATTGTGTTAAGCTCATGCTAACACATGTTGCCACCAATTTTGTCCCTGGTTTCTATGATTTGGTAATTAATTATGACGAGACATTTTTCACAGAAAATTGAATAAAATTTTTTATATTTAAAAATCTTTTGGAGTTTAATTATTATTTTTTTTTTTGTGTTAATTTCTTCCTTTTTCATAGGTCAAACAAGGAAAATCAACTTTAAAGTTTTGGTCGCATGATTTATTAGAGGTATAGATGCACAAAATTGTGAAACACCAATCCCCAATATCGTTTAACATTATTTAAAAAAAAAAATACACACACAAAGAGACAATTATATCATTATTATCAAAATTTCAAAACACACATGACCTAATCCTCTCATTATGTTCCATGTGACACACACAAGTTTCCTCAAATGGCTAAAAATGAAACCTCAAATATCTGTTTGGGAAAATAGTTTGTATCAAGTGACTCAATCCCCTAAACCAAAAGTGCAAAGTTCCCACTATTCTTCTCTTGCTTTATTGTTATTCTCCTTTGGTCAAAATTGACTTGAAAAGAAGAGGCGTGAATGACGTCATACCAAAAATGGGACTCAGATTTGCTAAGCAAACAGTGCAGAATTGTAGTTCCAAAAATAAAAGGGATTAATTAGCATAATCATATATGTGATCTCTTGCTTTTTCTTTTTCTTTTTACTTTAAATATTAGTGTAGTGGAAGAGGCTATATTGAAAAATGGATACTATTATATCACATGAGGTTATATTACAGAATTTCATAATTTCTCATCCTATAATTATGTTGATAACTAAGTCTATTTAATGCAGAATATTATCGTAATAGCTAATTATATTGACAACTAATTCTATTCAATGCAGAATATTAACATACTAGCTAATTATGCTGACAACTAATTCTATTCCTAATTACGTATACATTAAATGCAAAATATTTTCAAAATAGTGTTTGTTCCTCTAATACACCCCCTCAAGTTGCAGCATGCAAATTCGAAATGCCCAACTTGGATAACACATTATGGGTGGCTTATCTAAATGACAACTATTGCGGTTGAATTTTGTTGGCAAAATTAATTAAACCAAATTATAGAAAAAAAAACATAGAAGTGTCCTTTCATTTTCATATGTAAACTAATTGGGTTCAATTATGCCAAAATAACTGCCCTTACACTGTGGGGGAGAAAGAAAATACATTATAGAAAATTTTGTTGGCAAATTAATTAAACTAAATTATAGAAAAACATGGAAGAAGTGTCTCTTCATTTTTATATGTAAACTATTAATTGCCTTTCGTACATTCTAATCCTATAATCACACTGACAACTAATTCTATTCAATGTAGAATAATATCATAATAGCTAATTATGCTGACAACTAATTCTATTCAATGCAAAATATTAACATACTAGCTAATTATGCTGACAACTAATTATATTCCTATAATTACGTATACATTACTTGCAGAATATTTACAAAACGATATTTGTTCCTCTAATACTTCCCCTCATGTTGAAGCATGCAGATTCAAAATGCCTAACTTGGATAACATTGGGCGGCTCATCTTAAATGACAATTATTAAGATTGGAATTTTGTTGGCAAAATTAATTAAATCAAATTGTAAAAAAACATGGAATAGTATCATTGTTTTTCTACTGCGCATTTCCTATGTGTTCTTTCTTCCTATGAATTGTGAAATGTGGTGCCAATCTAATTTGTAAGGTACAAATACGAGCTTTCTGCTAGATAATTGTTAGACTTCATTGCTCGATCGGTTATGAAGTTCACTACAACAAAAGGAAAACATTAAAAACGTGTAAACCCATCCGTTGACACATCAACTCCATTTCCAATATTGACGATCATGGAACAATTGATAATACTACAACAAACATTGTGTTCAAACTTTTTTTTTCAAAGGTTACAATATATTAATTTGTCTTATTTGTTGAACTATTTTACATTAATTTACAGAGTTTGCTATCTCACTGTAATACATATTATACATATAATTTTACTATTCACTTAGTTTTATTTTATATTTTTTTTCTTACCACCATCTCGTGTGAAGGCCCTATCCTACACTAGTTTGTAAGGTACAAATACGAGCTTTCTGCTAGATAATTGTTAGACTTCATGGCTCAATCGGTTAAGAAGTTCACTACAACGAAAGGAAAATATTAAAAACGTGTAAACTCCTCCGTTGACACATCAACTCCATTTCCAATATTGAAGATCATGGCACAGTTGATAATACTACAACATTGTGTTCAAACTTTTTTTTTCAAAGGTTACAATATGTTAATTTGTCTTATTTGTTGAACTATTTTACATTAATTTACAGAGTTTGCTATCTCACTGTAATACATAATATACATATAATTTTACTATTCACTTAGTTCTATTTTATATTTTTTTCTTACCACCATCTCGTGTGAAGGCCCTGTCTTACACTAATTTGGTCCAAACCCAATTCACATTTCTTATTTGGCAAGAACTTTGATAGAGCCAGCAAGGCAAGAACTTTGATAAAGCCAGCAAAATAGTGGATCAAAGAGCTGTCAATAATATTTCGGGTCAGCCTAAACAGTGAAGGTTTATCTTTCAGGTTTGATTTTGAGATTACTCTTTCATTTGTATCTAACCTTTGATTCCTCCTGCATTAAATAAATTTAGTGTCCATTTTAGGTTCAGGTGGATATTGATTGAAAATTGAAAATTTAGTTAAAAATTGGATACATGATCTATACACAAATTTTAGAAATACTTGCATCTAAAAAAATAACCAAAAGGATTTTATTTCTTAGGCATTCAAAATTTGAATAATAATAATAAAAAAAAGATTTATAGGATTTGCATGACGATTTTGAGAATATAAGGAATCATTCATGTGTTGATTCAAATTGTGTATTTATTCTCCACTTTTTTTAGGTTATGGGGATTGGGGAATCCGGGAGAAAAGATCAGTATCTAGGTTTTGCTGAAATTTTTTGCTCCTGTTATTCTTTCTTCTATGATGTTGTAAACAGAGGAGAACAACTTTGTGCAAGGCCAGATATTTCATTATCTTCAGTTGATTATAAACATTCATATTATTCTAGTACTCAAGTAAACAATGTGCATTGTGTGTGTGTGTGTGATCCAGTGTAAACATCAATTAGCTGCAAGACTTGCTGCATTTATGGGGCCAAGTACCATCACATTTAGATTTAGATAACTCGAGTCCTTTTATCTCTTTCTTATTTTAAAAGTGCTTTTCATAAAAGTTAAAGTTATTTATATTTTTATAAAAATATTTAGTTTTTGAAAAAAATATTTGGCTTCTGACTTCTGCTTTTTTTAAAAGTTAAAATTTTTAACTTCTAAAAAAAGTAGGTTTTTAGCTTCTTTTTTTTGTGACTTCTGCTTTTTCTAAAAGCAAACATCCAAACGAACTTAGTGAGAAGTGCTTTTTTTCTTGAAAAAAAGGAGCTTTTAGAAAAAAAAAAAGCTCATCCAAACGGGCGAAAGAACACTAAAAAAAAAGTTGAAGCACCAAAAGCCATTTGTAGTAGATGCTTTAATAAAAAAGCACATGCTAGCTATCATAATGTGTTTTTTTGGATGAGATTCTAAAGAACTGCAAAATTTTTGAACTGAAAAATTGTTTGAAAGTTTTATTTGAAAAAATTATTCTGAGTTTAAGCCTAAATATAAAAAAATAATATAAATATGTTTTAATAATTTAATAAAATATAAAAGGTTAAAAATACTAAAATAAAATAGTTTTGAAAGAGAAAGGTAGAATCAAATGGTTCATGGTGCAACTTTTTCTTGTAATTGTTGTTGAGAAAACTAGTTCATGATTTGTTATTGTTATGGACCTGACAAAGGCTCGTATTCTAGAAGGTCCAATAAAAGACAACACAAAAGGAAGGGAATCTTTTATTAACGATGATCCTATCCAGACAGCTAAGCAGTTGGACTTGGGCCCCCAATATTTCTAAGAGGCCTAAAAGTACACTCTTCCCAGGTAACTCATTTACAAATAAAGGGTTAAGTAAATAAGGTACAAATATTATAAACTCTCTCTTAGCTGTCACTGTACACACATCCCTCCCTTTGGCTATGCCGTTTATTATAGTGCACAACAGTGTTGTAAAACTCGGCCGGGTCGACCCGGAACCCGGTGATCCGGTCATTGGACTGGTTCGGGTCAAGCATTGGACCGGTCATGCATCGACCCGGTCAAAACCCGGACAAAACCGGCCAAACCCAGTGACCCGGTCGGATCATGCATTTAAAAAAAAAAAACCAAAATTGTTTTTGTCAAAAAAAATGTATAACTCATTTTAATTTTTTTTTGTAATCTTATTTGCTAGTATATTCTTCTACAATGACCTCAAATTTCAGCTTCCAATACTGAAGCAATTTATGAAATAATAAATTAAGATATTGTGACATATGTCATTTTTAATGTAGTTGAATTTCAAAAATATGAGTTCAATGTCATTGAGAGGTATGTTTAGGAGGATTTTGAGTTGCGATTTAAATTGACATAGTAATAGCATGTATTTTTATTTATTTATGCTTCATGTTTTTTAGCTTATTTAATGAATCTTGTTTAATTCA